CCACCGCTAAAGTATGGGGGGGGCGCCACAGGGTGCCTGGCTAGTAACGGTCCACATTCCCGCTATACGCGTCAACACCTCGCTTAGTAACGTCACACAGCACCCACGCAATACGGTCACAGTCCTCGCTAGTACGCTCACAACCGGTCGCTATCACGTGTCCACACCTCGTAGTTACGGTCACACACTCGCTAGAACGGTCACTACTCGCTAGTACGGCTAGACATCGCTAGTAACGGTCACACACCCGCTAGTAACGTTGTTGCACACCGTCGCTAGTACGGTCACACCTCGCCAGTACGTACACACCATCGCTAATACGGCCACACCTCCTGCCGAAAAGTAGCGGTCACTACTTCGCTACGTACGTACACCATTCTGCTAGCTACGTCACACCTCGTAGTACGGTCACACCTCGCCTAGTACGTCACAGCTTTCTCTTCATTGTGGTTTCACCCCGCTATACGTCCACACCTTCGCTAGTACGGTTCACAGCCTCGCTAGTACGCGTCACACCTTTATTTTTCGGCACACCCCACACTAGTACGGTCAACACCATCGCTAGTACGAGTCACACCCCCGCTATGTACGCTCACACCTCGCTAGTACGGCAAACCTCTGCAGTACTGTGCATGACCTCGCCTAAGTACGGGGCACACCGTCGCTTAGTAGCGGTCCACACCTCGGCTTAAGTCACACGCGTCATCAGCGCTCTTAGTAACGGGTCACACCTCGCTAGTACGGTCACACCTCGCTAGTACGGTCACACCTCGCTAGTACGGTCACACCTCGCTAGTACGGTCACACCTCGCTAGTACGGTCACACGCTGGTGCGGTCTCAGCTTTTACTCTTCTATAAAAATATAACTACGGGATAGAAATATAATTATATTCAAAATAATATTGATAGATTTTATCAAGAGCAGATAAAGAAGGCCTTCTTTATCTGCTCTTGATTTTATTGAAATCTGAAGAAAGGAACCATAACGTTCGTCTACGAGGAAAGCATAGCGGAGTAGTGTAACACGTGCTGCAGTTTGAATCAAATGGCAAAGTTGATCGAAAAAGCGGCTTTATACGGTTATACCTATATTTTCCTATAATTTCCTGTAAGTGCGTGCGTACGTCCGTGCGTGCGTCCGTGCGTGCGTCCGTGTGTGCTGTGCGTCAGCATGCGACAAAGAGCAAATATCAACGGCTATCGTAATAGCTATTAATAAACGCTAACCTATACATACATACATACACCCCGAGTTCCCTCATTTTTACTGCAGCGTTTAGTGTTACAGGCGAAGTACGCCAAGCAGTAAGAATTTTCGGCTACATTAAAGGTACGAGTGAAAAAAATGCGGATGCTTGAACGCTAGTTGTCGTGACTAATTAAATTACTCGTAGAAAGCCAGCGCAAATTAACGCATGCGCACATGTGACGGCCCCTGCAGACGTGAACACGCGTGCTCGTGCAACATGGTAGTATATCTGACAAGGTCTGTCGCATATATGCTAAACACCGCTGTCCATGTATACACGAGCATGGAACGACGTTGTTACGGTGGGAAGAGAGTAAACATGAACGGTTGCCATTCATGTGAGCGTTCCTACCACGTCCGCGGATTAAACTTTTTTATTTCCTGATGAAAACAGCTAATCCTCTGCCATTATCGGGGCTTTCTTTCACTCTGCCGACCTTTTCCGTGACGAAATCCCCATGTATTTATGTACGATGTGGCGGGTAGTGATGCGTGGCATTGTACATCGCAGCCGCCGCACGCGAGGCTGAACGATAAACGACCAGCTTCCGTGTGCTGGACGCTTCCCAGATAACATCGTCATGCAAGCATGCGGAAGCCAACGGGTTAGCGCACGCTAGAGGGCGCGCGTGTAGCGGGTGAATGCGAGCAATATTTATCAGTAGTAGTTACGCACGTTAACGCGCCGCCGTACGTCTGCTGATAGACGGACACACCATTAACGGATGCGATCGCAAAACACGATTAGATTTGCGGATGTCTGTCTGGTTGATTCTTTACGTCTTCTTCATTCTCAGCCCGCTGCTTCGTTGATGTTGTATTTCGGGTTTCTGTGTGAGTAGCAAAGCACGCGTAATCAACGCCAGGCATCTTCCCCATACTCCCCACATCTCTCGACCTCCGATAGGGAACCCACCATTGCATGCGGCATGGTTCCAACTTGTTGAACATTGCATTGCCATCGACTCACAAACAGTGGTTTCACGCAGGGGCCATGTGTACGTTAGTGCGATGTATGTCGTAAGCCGAAACTATACGGCGCGTAGCGGTGCCGCGGTGCTCAGTCTATAAACGGTAGTCAGAGTTAGGTTTACTATCTGTCGACGTCAGTCACCCGGGGGCTCTGCGGTCGCTCGAAGGTGACAGAGCTTGCATGTCGGATTTTCGAACGTGTCGTTTTTGTGAAATTGCCAAACGTTCGAATAATGCCAGACGGGTTTTTTGGTCGGTTTGCACGCAGGCGGCATGTCTGTTTCCCCCCTCTCTCTCTCATCCGATTGCATCCGTCATACTTGATAATGTACGCGGATGCAGTTCGATAATTTGCAAAGAGGAAGGAGGGGGGTACTGCTCGTAAAGGTATTTTTGGAAACTATATATGCGAAATTGATTTGTGACAGAAAACGCTATTGAAGGCTTATGTTGCGGGCCAGCAAATTGCAGCTTATGCGTTCCCGGGTGGAGATTGCACGCAATATTTTATTCTTGCAGACCGCTAGAGTTGCTGCTCGTGCTGGCCATTCTCAGTGAATGACGTTTGAGTGAAATGCTCCTCGATAACAGAAAGGTTCGCAGTAAATGTCGCAGGAATTAAAGCAGCAGAATGAAGGAGTTGTGGACAGAAGTAACGATGAGGGTTGGCGTTGGTTGGTTGGCGTCAGTTGGCAGAATAATAACGCGTATATCGTACTCGAATTTTATTACGTAATAGCATACGGCAAGGACGATGTTAGTTTCCGTAAGTAACGAAAAGTCCTAGCATTTTTTTTTTATCGTATTGGAGGTGTGATTGGTGGGCATCTCCATATATAGTTGTTTTTCGGTTGCCTGGCGACAAAGGCGACAGATTTGAGCGTCTGTATTAAACCACGGTTGAGCACAGAGTTCGTGTGGCTCGGATCGGCTGGTTTTCCAAACTAAATGAGTATAGATGTTTGCGAAAATTAAACTGTCAACTTAGATGGCGTTTGTGTCGCAATTCTGGATGGATTGCACGCGTGCACACTGCATAACAATAAGTGTGAGGGAAGCTGCAAGGCGTTCGATGGGGGAAACAGCTGGAAGAGACACGTCCGTGCAGACTGACTCTGATAGCGAGTCGTTTTCGTCGCCATCACTGAACATTCAGTCGTCATTCGTGTTGTTTTAATCAGCATTATTTGTTTGTCAAATATTAGCAATTAAATAATGTGATTATACACGATTCGTTGATGAGCCCGGCCACCGTTCCCGTGGGATTTCATCAATACTATGTTTTAGCCGTTCATCACATTCCCGTACACAGTCGCCTAATGTATTTCAGTGCAACTGTAGTAGATGGTTTGTTTTGTAGCGTCGTAATGTGGAGGTTGTTTGGTGTGTTACTCACAATCTACATGCGGTGGCCACATAATGGCTCATTTAATCACACCGAAATTGTCATTGTCATCTCAGCCTATTGAACATGAGAGTGACTGGTGGGCGAAATGGGTAAACAGTGGCAAGGCAATTACCCATGATTCATGCAATGATCAGCAGCAGTACGATCACAGGACACGCGTAATTTAGCACTAATTGCAGCGGCAGATCCAAAGTCAAGTTGCTGGCGGTTCATCTACCGCCTACTCCAAGGGTCTATATCTTAGTAGTCGGCGTCCAACCCGCCTCTGTATATACATACTGATGACCCCCTCTGTACACTATGCCGCTGCTGCCGACATTCCTTTGATCTTTCAGCATCTCACCACACACGCACACCGCCTCCTTTTGTATGTATCTCACTTTTGCAGATATCGGCCCGCCCGACACCATTCTATGGATGTTGCGTCACCAATTTCCCTGTCCCCATTGGGTCCTTGGAATCGATCGCTGCATGCTACCTTCCCACAGTACTCAGCTGCCACACATGCTCTGAATTTATTGGCTCTCTCAGGGGCCCTTTGCTCCGGTTGCTTTCCCAGCACTCCATTTTTTCTTCGCCCTCTTCCCCCCACTCCTAAAACCCATCTCCGCTGCCCACCCACTGTTCACCACTGCTTGTCGTACTTGTGTGTGTGTGTGGGGGGCGTACGTGCGTGCGCGCGTGCGTGTGTGTGTGTATGTGTGGTGTGTGCGTGTGTGTGTATGTGTGTGTGTATGTGTGCATGTGTGTGTGTGTGTGCGTGTGTGTGTGTGCGTGCGTGTGCGTGCGTTTGCGCGTGTGTGCATTTGTTCGCGTGTGCGTGCTTGCGTGCATGTGGGTTTGCGTGCGTGCGTATGTGTGCATGCGTGTGTGCATGTGTATGCGTGCTTGCGTGTGTGCTTGCGTGTGTGTGCGTGCGTGTGCGCATGTGTATGCGTGTTTGCGTGCGTGAGTATGTGTATGTGCATGCGTGTGTGTATGCGTGCTTGCGTGTGTGCTTGCGTGTGCGTGCGTGGGTGGACCGCCCGCGGCGTGGATATTACATTGCGGATAAAACACCTCGCTGCTACGCGATCGGCAATTACGCAATTACGGTGATTATGCAAATATTCCAATGTTATTATCGCTGATTCAAACAGGATGTTGGCAGGGAGTGCTGTGAGGATGAACACGCTGTTGCCCTAATTGACAGCTTCTGTTTTGGTTACAATAGCAGTAAATTGCAGTTATTAATAGTGTAGTTATAACATCACATTACTACGCCTTTCTAAGATGCAGCATAGGCAGGTATGTGTAAAACTCAACCTGATTTAACATGTAAACCATTACTGTTTGCGGTGTGTTTAACTATGTGTAATGCTGCATATCAGGGGACTTCAGAATGACAGTGGGAGAGGATAGAGGCAAAGTAAAGAACATCGTTGGCCCCAATCTGCACCGGTTTCGAGAACTGTATGAGAATATTCTAGACAACATGCAGCACCTGCATTGGAACAAAAGCATCGCGTCATTCGAGGTTTGTTTCACATGTTTATTGTCTACTTGTAAGGTGCTCGTCTAATGAGTGTAGATGTCGCTCCATTGAATGCTTCGTCAGTAATCCTCATTACAGCAAAATCATGTGGCGATAGAAGCTTTGTAACACGGCTATCTATTTCTTGCTTGTAGCAATCCAACGACCATAGCTGCCTGTACCATCACCTCAGTCTGCTGCCGAAAACTATGCAGCTGCTCATTTGGGAGCATATCAATAAAGATGGCCGCCATCGGGACCTAGAGGAGAGTCTGATGTCTGTCTCACACGACTACGAGTGCAGCTACATAGTAGCCAACGGTAAGTACTGCTGCAGCGAAGCTCTGACACGTGTCGTAGTGAGGCAGGCTTGGGCTGCAACACTCGTTTACTTTGCAGGCAGACGTGCATCGAAATGGCTGACATTGTAACGGACCGATTCGATTTCAGCAGCTAACGTTATTTCGTCTTGCGTGTTATTTCAGCCATCACGAGGATAGTGCAGCGATCCAGCCTCACGCAGAGTGTGAAGGGAATTTTCACGGCAGGTGTGTAAATACAGCGTGAAGACAATAACGTTAGTGTGCAACATATATGTTTTGTTTTACAATTTAATGGTAGTGTGATGAACAGAAAGTTGAAGATATATCTTGAACATCATCAGCATCAGTAATCATCCATTTCAAAGTTTATTAATTTTGTTGTCTGCTGTAAACACATGTTACATATATTTTGGTGCTGCATCTTTTTAGGAATGGTGAAGTCAATGAAATACAGTGGGCAGAAGTTAAAGAAGATGGCAAAGAGTTTAAGGAGTTGACAGTCAGTATCTGAGTGGTGAGTACACACAGACAGTATGAGAAATTCACATGTTCTATGTAGTTATTTTATTTATAAATGCAACATGTGATAAGTGAACCATTTAACATTGAAATCGCTGGATACCAGCTAACTATATGCATGTTCTTGGGAAATAAATTAGAATTAGTTCTCCTTGGTTTACAGCCAACAACAACAAATTAGTGAAAGTATCAGCAGAACACCTTACCGGCAATAACAGGAGTTTGAGGGTATACTGTAGTGTCTTACATGCTCTTAGCTTGTGGCACACATGACTCTGAAGAAAACCAAGATAGGATATTATGCGTTCATATGTTGAAAAATTCAGCTTCTGCTATGTGACTGACTGTGACACCTGTCATTGCCAATTTATTTACCTGTTATCTTTCCAGGTGTGCATGAGTCATCAATGCTGGTAGTGCCATGTAGCCAAGTCTGCATTGTACAGATAGCCTCTCATCATTTGATGGCGATATCAGAGCATTGCCTCGCTGATGCATGCTAATGATCACCACAGTCAAGTCGCCTGTGTCTTCTATAATTTTATTGCACAGTTATCATGCATGAGGTTAGTAATAAGCTGATAATAATCAGTTTAGCGTGCTTTATGTGATGAGAAATAGTACGAATCAAACAGTGTAAGAAATTATGATACTTTTGCATGAACGTGGAAAGAATATAACAAGATCCTCATACATTTGTTTTGTAAATAATCTAGATTTACTTAGGTAATCGTTTAATATGATATGTATAGCAATTGTTATCTGTGAACATTTTAAGTAAAACTTGTATTGTACACCTTAGAAACTGGAGTGTATGGATTTGTGGTTCGTTCAACAAGCCAAACTAGCTTTGTTAGAAGTTCAGTAATTATTTTCATCTAAATAATTCACACAGTTCACAAACTTTCTCTTAGACGCTGGCAGGGGCATAGGTTGAGGCAGGTCTCCTCTTTGTAAATGTAAAATTGATGGCTGTACAGTACCTATGAGGGCTATAAAGTGAATATATACATATTCATATGCATCTCACAAGTGGTTATTATATATATACATGATACATTTTCAACGGTGCCTTTTCAACAGTGCAAGAACAACGAGTAAATGGTGCATACTGAAGTGCGGATATTTGCATTTAAAGCCGGGCTCTAGCCTGAGTTAATCCCTAGTGTGGTGGCGCGAGGGGGGGGCGCAGAAACTGACGGGTTAATGACGACATTACACTGTCGGACGGATTAGAAATAATCCCATACAGGATAAGATTAGGGTTAAGAAATAGCCGCATATTTCTACCAACAGGTGGCGACACTATATCACATGTAAAGTCTCCGCGCAAGATTATGAAGAACTAACTTTTAGAGTAGATAGACGGAGAGAGAGAGAGAGAGAGAGAGAGAGACGAGAGAAAAAGAGGTACGTGAGACGGAGGTGCTGGTAAGAGCTTAACGATGACATCCGTTGATGTTTGTGGCGTGGTCGTGTGGGTAAATAACAACAAATCCGTGACCGTAGTGTGCGCAGACGTGCAAATCAATCTTCAATGTTTCCCGGATCCCAAACGCCCTGACGGTGCTCCGCGTGATCGCGCACATGTGCAGCTGATTGGTACTGATGCGGCAGCAGTGGCAGCAACTCGGCCAGATTCGTGTTGCTAGGATGATGCTAGTAGCAATAGGGCTGTCGCAGCAACTTTCACGGCCACACTGTCGCCTGCCTCGTCCTATCATCTGCTGCTGTGCGGGTGAAGCAGGGAGTGAAGTTTGCATATAGCCACCCGCGAGCAACGCACGCTGCATGAGTTTCATCGTCTTCACAGTCGATACGTAAATATCGTGCAGTGCCGCTCAGACAGCCGCCGACGACGACGACGACGACGACGACGACGACGACGACGACGACGACGACCCTTGTGGTCGGGTTACGGCGTGTCGGGTGCGCGCGCGTCTATATACGTGTAAGTAGACGTCTATATACGTGTAAGTAGACGCCTATATACGTGTAAGTAGACGTCTATATACGTGTTAGTAGACGTCTATATACGTGTAAGTAGACGCCTATATACGTGTAAACAGACGCCGTAAGCAGATACGCGATCACACGTGTATGCGGGGGACGCTGTACTGATATGTTGACCGTCCGCGGGCGTCCACGCGAGTGCCGCACCACCGCCGCCGCCGCCACCACCGCCGCCGCCTCACTGAAGTGATTCTGAACGCCTTCTGCTGGTATGTTGCCTTTCACTTCTTTTATCTCGCGGGTTGTGGTGACTTGGGATGCATCTCACGCGCGCGTCCGTCGCTGTGTGCTTTCACGGCTCGGCGTGCGTGTAAGCGGGGGTAATAAGGTGATTGAGAGAGAGAGAGAGAGAGAGAGAACGGGTTGCTATCATACGTAGCTGTGACGTCACCGTGACTATCCGACTGGCGGACTAACAGTGACGGACGGACTAGTCGTGCACTGCACGCTCCTTCGTCTGAGTGCGTCGCGTCGTAAGTTGACGAGGATTTAGCGACACAAAGAAAGTGTCCGGCGCTTGCCATTATGAGACGATGTCTCACTCCGTTGCAGCAGCAGCAGCAGGAACGGGAATCGATCGCAAAGCACGCACGCTGGTACTAGAGTTGATCTCTCGCTTCAACTCCTTAAGTTTTCGACCTTATTAGGTTAAGGGTTAAACATAATTAAATTAAGATGATGCGAGGAGAAGGAAAGCGTGCCCGCGGTGAAGCAGCATCGAGTTAAGCGAACGAGGACCGCGTGCTGCGAAGACGTTGCAATAACCGTATTACATGAAACTTTAATGCATATACAGGGTTAATTACGTGTCCGTGGTTAGGGGGAGACTGGAGGCATTGACTGCGTAATAGCCATCCCATTACGGATGCTGGCAACTGCCGGTCGGTGGGAGGAAATTATGCCATCATTAGGCTATGTTGTTTTGACATTCATGTTTTATATTTGACGGTTTTTTCTCGGTGACAGGTTGTGTGCGTATGTGAGCGTGAGTGCGTGCGTGTTGTGTGTGTGTGTGTGTGCGTGCGTGCGTGCGTGTGTGTGTGTGTGTCTGTGTGCAATATCAGAGCATGCGTGCACGTTGTTGCCAGGAGATTGCGTGTGAACCCATGGCGTGTAATTAAAATAGTTGGCAGACAACAGGGCTGTCTGAGAAAACAAGAAAGTTTTTAATTACTATCCTAATATTGCATTATTGCGCCGCCAAACGAGCCATTATGAACACAAGATTGGATTGGGAACCAATCGTGATCATATTGGCTGCTCAGTGAAAATCAATGGGGATGAAAGCTGTTTAGTAGAATATGCTATAGAAACAGACCCTCCGTGTCTTTTAGTCTGTTGTGCCGCACTATAAACTCTCCCTGGCACGCGTGCACACGCGTCGGAAGTCTGCGCTCACACGCGTACATGCGGCCGCGCGTACGGTATTGCGTGTACGTGCGTGCGTGCGGCCGCGTGTACGGTATTGCGTGTACGTGCGTGCGTGCGGGCGCATTTTTCCTCATTGTGAATGAAAAAATAATAAATAGCCACGATCAAAGCGTCCTCCTGAAAACATCAGCCCCCCCCCACGCTGCATAGCTCACCCACCACTACCCACTCACTCTGTTTATGTTGTGTCGTGGTGGCGGGAGAATGTATCGTAGTATCAGGAGCTAATAATGACAAATTTGTCATTATTAGCTCCTGGTAGTATGAAACTGCACGACAGATGGCGCTCTCGCTCTGGCTCAACATCCTGAGTTGTACGAAGGGGGCGCTGCATGCAGTTTGTCGTAGTATGTCGTCTCTAACTGACCGTGTTTATATGACGTTAGTTCTGCCGACAGGTCACGGTTGAGAGCTTCCGGTGATTCGATTTTCTTACGCAAATACGGTGCACTTCATGTAAGTCGCTGTTTTTTTTGCTTTCCCCGCAAAATTGTAGGTTTTTGTTGGGCATTAGAGCGTATTTTCGCTACAAAACCGTCGTGGGCATTTTCCTGGGAGCTGTAACTCCCAATAGAATTCTCCGCGTGTGGAAGTCGCATGCAAACGTGACATTTACAATGACCAATGACCCTTTATTTTATAGGTAGAGTAAAATATAGACGAGGTTGTCTCTTAGCGGTCGTCCGGTTTTATCGCCGTTACGTTCTTCCGTCTTTCTACATCAATCTAGAACAGTAATCGTGACAACTCGCGCTTTTGTAGGTGATTCAAAAACAAATATTTGTCATTCACTACAAAACATATATGATGGTATTCTTGCAAATGGCCTTGTGGTCACCTTTGCCACTTTGCCTGTGCATATGTCCGTCTATAACTTCAAGTTTCTTATGCTGTCCGTGTGCATGCATGCATGCGCGCGTGCGGTTGTGTGTGTGTGTGTGTGTGTGTTGTGTGTGTGTGTGTGTGTGTGTGTGTGGTGTGTCGTGTATGTGTGTGTGTGCGTGTGTATGTGTATGTGTGTGTGTGTATGGTGTTGTGTGGTGTGTGTGTGCTGGCTGTGTGTGTGCGTGCGTGCCGTGTGTGTTGGCATGCGGTGCTGGCGCTGCGTGTGTCGCGTGCGGTGGGGGTGTGTAGTGGTGTGTGTTGGTGTTGTCTGTGCTGTCAGAGAAGCTAGGGATCTAGCGATGCTAGTGGTATATATCGGGCCGGTTGACTCTATTCGAAATCCCGTGTTCAGCAGAAACCCTTTACGTGAGAGCAACTGTGCTATACTGTGGCGGTGGTTTGTTGGGGGTGGGTGGGGGTTTTTAGATGCGCTCTTCGGCTTTCCGGCTGGCAATAACCTACCATAAATCTTTGTGCAGATTAGCAGCCGGCTAAAAACGAATGGACGGGCGTGATCCACTGGCTTTCACAATCCTTTAGATAAGCTTCCACGTCGCGCGTTTACCGCGTACATCGTTTGTTTGGCGCGGAAGCTGGCTGGTGCTGGTGGGCCTTGCATTGCATGTTTTCTATATATGCAGACGCTGCTCTCATCTTTCCTTCTTTCGTCTCTGCTCTTCTCTCACTCTCGATCCTCTCTCCCCTCTCTCTCTGCTCTCTACTCTCTCTCGGTCGTCTTTGCTCGTCTATCTCTCTTCTCTTTATCTATCTGTATCTGTCTGCTCTCTCCCTACCCCTGCCCTCTCGTCAGACATCTTCGAAACTCTCAGGTCTCTCCGGGCAGTCCATTCTCGCCTCTCTTCCTCTCTCTCTCTTCTCTCTCCTCCGTCTCCGTCTTTCCACTCCGATCTCGGGGTCCTCACGCGTCTCTCGTCTGTCTCTCTATCTCTCGTCCTCTACTCCTGTATCTCTCTCATCGTCTCTCTTCTCTCTCTCCTACCTCCTCTCTCACTCTAAGTCTCTCATCATCTTCTTTCTCTTCCCTCATCCCTCATCTCGTTCCTATCTCATCTCGTCTCATCTGCTCATCTCCATCTCTCTTGCGTCTCTGTCTTTCTCTCGCTCTATCTCTCCTCTCTTTTTATCTATCTGTCTCTGTCTCTTCATCGATCGCCTAACC